AATGACAATAAGATGCACTCTGAACAATTGGTTGTCAAAACAATGCTTTTTTAATGCTTTCGGATAATTTCTCATTGTTCTGAGTCTACGAATATAAGAAAAAAAATGAAATTGGCCCAAGCTATGGTACTATACACAACTTTCCTTCTAGAAAACGTAGTTCCAAAAAACACTTTCCTAAATTATATTTCACTATGTACCAGAGGACTGGGAAGAGTATTACATGATCTATTTCTGCATCTTGAGCAATACAGAAAACTACCAGAAGTCCTGAAGAGCTTCTGCTTTACTTGCTTGCTGAGAGATTTAGTATCCTCAAACTGACAGGTGAATTTGAATAAATAAATGTTCAGAGAATAAAGCTGCCAAGAAACTGGCATTGGCCAGGAATGGTGGCTCACGTCTGTAATCCCAGCACTTTGGGAAACCAAGGCAGGAGGATCGCTTGAGCCCTGGAATTCAAGACCAGCCTGGGCAACACGGTGAAACTCCATCTCTAGAAAAAATAAACAGATTAGCCAGGCATGGTGGCATGCACCTGTAGTCTGAGCTACTCGGGAGGCTGAGGTGGGAGGATCGCTTGAGCCTGGGAGGTCAAGGCTGCAGTGAACCGTCATGACATCACTGCACTCCAGCCTGGGTGACAGAGTGAGACCCTGTCTCAAAATAAAATACAGAAACCATCATTGATACATTATCATTGGAAATTTATTGATACATACATTAATACATACATTACTTGGAAAAAGCCAAGTATTAGAAACCCAAATCATACAATGTTTTGTTCATACCCTTCAGCTGTGCGTTCAGAAAATTAAAGCAAACAAACACATAACTGGCTGTTGGCAGAAAGCGATTCACTTTCATTCTTCAACTACAGACAACCTGCAGATTCTAAGAGTTTGGTAATTACCTTGTCACATACCCAGACACGTTGTTCAACAAACAAGGTGGAAAAGCAGCTATTAAATGTTAAAAGGGCTGATCCAATCAAAGTTTAACTGTAGTTTGCAGAGAGTAATAAAAAACTAGCAAGGCTTATTAACATCGCATGGTTTCTCCTAGTTTGCTGGAGCCTGCAGAAGAAAACGCCCACATTGACGTGCCTTGAGAACACACCTCTTCCCTACAGACGCATGCTGAAACCCTCCTCCTGGACAGGAACTTCATCTTAAAAGCATTTCTTACCCCATCTCTGTGCTTCTAAACACAAGGTTTTAGAAACAAACGTTTCCAGGTGATTGTGTGAAGCAGCACATACATCCATCACTGCTAAAAATACAAACATGCCCAAGGAGAATCATAATCCTGTCTTCTTAAAATATTTTATATGGTTTGGCTCTGTGTTCCCACCCCAATTTCACCTTGAATTGTAATATTCCCCAGTGTCAAGAGCAAGGCCAGGTGGAGATAATTAAATCACGGGGGCAGTTTCCCTCACGTTGTGAGGCTGCAGTGAACCGTCACTCTCACGACAGTGAGTTTGTTTTCAGGGGGTGATCTGATGGTTTATAAAGGGCTTCTTCCTTTGCTCAGCACTCATTCTCTCTCCTGCCACCCTGTGAAGAGAGACCTTCCACCATGATTTTAAGGTTCCTGAGGAGTCCCCAGCCATGTGGAAATGCGAGTCAATTAAGCCTCTTTCCTTTATATACACATTACTCGGGTATGTCCTTATAACAGCATGAAAACGGACTACTACAGTATCAGACCTCTACTCCAAGCAGAACATAATCAGTGTCGTCAATGTAATCTTCAAACGACTTGAGAAAAGTCTACAACCTAGTTACTAGTTACTAGGAGGAAGAAAAGCTTGATCTCATGAAGGCTACCTCTTCTCAGCAATGCCATAACTAGAGGCTGAAAAATATCTACCCTTTCCACTGACCTCACTACAGTGGACAATTAGTGACCACTAACAGCAACCTAGCACCTGAATCATTTTCCTACACTGTACCCTTCAAGCTTTTAAAAATCTGAGATGTGGCATATCTACTATTTTTTCCTTTTCTGAGATGGGGTCTGGCTCTGTGGCCCAGGCCGGAGTGCAGTGGCATGATCTTGGCTCACTGCAACCTCCACCTCCTGGGTTCAAGTGATTCTCATGCCTCAGTTTCCCTAGTGGCTGGGATTGTAGGTGTGTGCCACCATGACGGTCAAATTTTTGTATTTTTAGTAGAGACAGGGTTTCACGATGTTGGTCATATTTATTCCTATATCCCAGAAATACATTCCATGATGGTGATATTTGGTCTTGATACTGGTTGAATATTGACTTAATGTTTGGCCAGTCAGTATTCACTGTGAATGTATAAGCTTATCTGTGATAGACAATGAAAATCCAAATAGCCAATGAAAGAAAAGCAAGCAAATCTGTACCCCACGATTAATGAAAATCTGACTTTGATTTGCGAACACTAAAGGTTATCTTGAAAGGAAAGATAACACTACGTACTGGAGGAGTCAAAACTTCAAAAGTTGATGCAAAACACTTAATTCGGCAGGGCACAGTGGCTCACGCCTGTAATCCCAGCACTTTGGGAGGCCGAGGTGGGTGGGTCATGAGGTCAGGAGATCGAGACCATCCTGGCTAACATGGTGAAACCCCGTCTCTACTAAAAATACAAAAAATGAGCCTGGTGTGGTGGCGGGCGCCTGTAGTCCCAGCTACTCAGGAGGCTGAGGCAGGAGAATGGCATGAACCCGGGAGGTGGAACTTGCAGTGAGCCAAGATCATGCCACTGTACTCCAACCTGGGCGACAGAGTGAGACTCCATCTCAAAACAAACAAACAAGGCTTAATTCACCTTTTCGTGCATTACTTTTCTTTTCTGAGAACTCAATACTTCAAAGTTAATAATACCGGCTTTTCCACTTACAAGTTAACCGAAGGACTGGCGCCTCCGGAGTTCTCCAAGCATCTTTACAAGATGCTGTCAGCACAAGGGATCCCCTTCACACAACTGAGACTAGAACTGAACCATGAGGAATAAGTAACCCAGAGGGCACCTGCAGGACAAGTCAAGAAAGAGGTGGCTCCCGGAGTAGTAGTACGCATGGGTGCCAAGACTCGGAAATGCTACACTGGCTGGTGCAGTCTGTACTGGGAAGTAGCAGGAGACAACCTGACAGCAGACAGTGGTAACCTGTCTGTAATGGAAAACACTGAGAGACCACCTACCAGGAGACTGCTGTCAAGCTAAGTCTGTCCTTTCTCTGAAGGCAAAGAAGCCACTCTGCAACAGTTCTGATGAGAAAACAAGGGCTGTAACATGGAGCTGGCAGAAGTGGTGACATAAAGGAAGAGGTTGGATGTACTAGGAAGAGTTGGCTGAACTCAGTGACTCACAAAGCTGCAAATCGCCTGAAAACTTGGATACCAATGTAATGTTGATAGAAGCACCAGGTACTAAAACATTAGGATGTTTGCCAAGTATACCCAGGCTCTTTCATGTTAACAGCAAATGCAGTACCAAGAAATATAATTCAAGTGATAGAGATTAATATCCCAAGCAAATAATCGGCATGAAGCATTGTGGTACCTACCAACTCAGTGGCTGTGGAACTTCAACTTTCTGACCGTCCACCTCCAGGTCCTCCAATTCCTTAAAATATTTGTTCTTTAAGCAATGGAGAATCTCTTTTGCATGGCTATTGAAAAACAAGAAAGTTTCAAATTGATCTGGAAAGCTAAGCTAATACATTGTATCTTTTTAAATTTAAGACTGCAAGTATTTTAAAACTAAAACCAACTTTTGCATGGAGAATAAACATTCTTCAGTCACTACTTTTACACTGTATCCCTTCAAAATTTAAGCAATCCACACTGTTTGATCCCTAAAAGCAACACTGCATTCCTTCTCTCCTAAGTATACCTACAGTTTTAGTTTTACTTGCGACTCATTTAGAAAGATGTAACTACAAAGATGGCGGGGGGCGGGGCCGGAGGGGGGAAGGACCAAGGGATTTTATGCATTCTCTATAAATTCTCTTACGTTCCAAAAGGTAAGACCCTCAGCTTCCCTCCTGGAAGATTCCCCAGGAACCGAATCTTCCTCAGATCCCATTTTCATTTCCTCTTCTAACCTTGCACCTGCAATACCTCCGTGACCATTTCATTGGACCCTGTGCTCCCACCTCAATGCTTCCTGAATCCAAACCGCTGAAACGCCACGGTTCTCTGGCATTGTAACACTTGTCGGAGAAAACACCATCGCCTTTAACCGCCAGCATCCTGGCCCCAACTCCCAAAAAATCAGGCACTGCCCCCCTACCTTTTGTAACCAGTAATTCTTAAAGTGGCCGGGAGGGGCTCCCTGAGAGCGTCCATGAACTGGCCCCACTCGCCCTCGGGCACGATCTTGAGTTCCTGGTAGTAGTGCTCGAACAGCTTGTTCTCCTTGACGATCTCGGGGTAGCCTCCTTCCCAGCCCTGAGAAAGGAAAGCGACGTCTACCCCGAGGCCCGAGGAGCTGCCCCTCGCCGCCGCTTCGGAGGCCTCGGGGTCCGGGAGGCCCACGAGGAGCCCCTGGCCCGCCCGCCGGGTCCCGACTCCTACCGCCTCGCCGCGCTTTCCACCGCCCTCGGCGCCATCCTCCGCATCCTCTGGCCGCTGCTGTTGCTGGAGCCGCCGGCCCCGCGACCGCCGCCCCATAGCCCACGCGGCCGCACACGCAGCACGCAAAAACCTGCCGGCCACGGCCAGACCTCAAGCCCTACAGCACCCGGGACTTCCGGCCGGAAACCAAGGCCCCACGTGTCCGGGCCTGGTCCTTTCGGGGGCCTTTGGGGACCGTCCAAGAATAAGCCTAAAGCGCACAACCCGTCTTCCCTAAAAGCAGCGAGAGAGGGAAAACCGCGGACAGCTCTGAGGCGGAAAAAGGCTCCAGGAAGCAGCCATGAAGGCGTCTCCAAGCGAAGCGCCCGGGTTTCCCACGCGGTCTCAGGGACCTCCGCGGACAGCCTGAGGCCGCCCGTCCGCAGAGCGGCGCCGGGTTACGGCGGCCCGGCGTGGGCGGGGCGCTTGCAGGTCCCTCCCTGCGCAGGTGCTCGCCCCGCCCCCAGGGCCGCGCCCACAGCCCCGGCTGCCCTGGAGAAGCCTGGATTGAGAACCCTGTCTGCAGTGTCCCGGCAGTGCCGAACTCGGGTAGCCGCCCGTCCCGCCCCCGCGCCGCCGCCTTATATGTTGCCTGCCGCGGCCTCTGGGGCATGGAGCACGCTGCCCAGCCCCGGCGATGGCGACGGCGGTGGCGGAGGAGCGCCTGCTGGCCGAGGAGCGCATGCTGGCCGCGCTCGCCTACCTGCAGTGCGCCGTGGGCTGCGCGGTCTTAGCGCGGAATCGTGAGACGAACTTGGCGTACGGCCGCCACGCGTCGCCCAGCTTTAGGGTCCGAGTGCCGGCGCGGGCCGCCTGGGTGGTACAGGAGCTGCCCTCGCTGGCTCTGCCGCTCTACCAGTACGCCAGCGAGTCCGCCCCGCGCCTCCGCAGCGCGCCCAACTGCATCCTCCTGGCCATGTTCCTCGTCCACTACGGGCATCGGTAACGTCCCCGGCCCCCAACCCCCGGCCCGGCGTCCTCTCCGACCCTCCCCTCACTGCCCGGTGCCCTCTCCCCGAAGCTTCCCCCACCCAGATGCCCTCTCCTTGCCAACCCCCGGGGCGTCCCCCATCTGCACGGGTCCCCTTCTGCTGCCGCCCCTGGGGTCCCCTCCCCGAGTCCCCCGGCCCCGGGAGTTTGGAAACCAGAAGGGATTCGTCTAGAAAGGGCGGGAAGCAAAGGACTAGAAGGGAGTGATGGAAAAATTCATGATGAAACTGATCTGGAAAAAGCCACTCGGTGGTCCTAGGTTTGGTTTCCTTAGCCGGGTGCGGTGGCGCCTGTCTGTAATCCCAGTTACTCCGGAGGCTGAGATGGGAGAATAGCTTGAACCCCCGGGAGATGGAGGTTACAGTGAGCCGAGATCTCGCGACTGCCGTCCAGCCTGAGTGACAGAGCGAGACTCTGTCTCAAAATTAAATAAATAAAAATAAAGAATTAAAAAGTAAAAATATAAAATTAAAATGAAGACTAGATTTTGTTCCCTTAGATCACGTCTGCGGGGGCGTGGGGGGGGGGGTGACCTAGAGTCTAATGCTGATGGTCTTCAGTCTTGAGGGCTACTGGTTTCTACTCCTTTCTGCCGGTTCCCCCTTTGGTATCTTTGGTGATGGTGGAGCTGTTTTCTCTGAGCCAAGTGATCAGCTGCAACTGGAAACCTGGTATGCTAAAATAGCCTAGCAGTTTCTCTGTATAGGCTTGATCACTTTCACACTTTCATCTCCACCTTATGCAAGGGACCCCAGGATTGTGGGGGGGGCTTTCCAGGCAACAACCTTAAACCTTAAAGAAATCAAGTCTTAAAGATGACTTCTAAATCTTTCAAGGTGTTTTTTTTTTTTTTTTTTTTTTTTTTGAATATTTGACAACTGGCTGTGTCTGAAATCTTCAAGTCTTCTAATAAGTTGGGGTTCTCTCCAGGTCTTTTGGCTTTTACACAGCTAAAGCAAACGGCAGGTCAAAAGTTCAGAATCAAATTTTAAATGTTTTCATTCAGGCTCTGGAAAGCTTCACCGTTAAAAAGGATGTCTCTGCAGCCAAGGAAGTTGAATTCACTGGCTATGTGACTATGGGCTGTTTACCCAACCTTTCTGATGCGGGGTCCCACCTTAAAACACTCACTTCCCACCGAGATAGGAAGAACTCAGTGTGTCTTTATAAGCCTCTGTTCTTTTCCTGGTGTCATGCATTCCAGCAAAGAATTTTTTTTTGGAGTAGGATCAACCATTGCTACACATGTGTGAATGCACATCCAGACATGTACTCTGTGTGTCATTCATGTACACTGCTGCCAGCCTCATGTGCCAGCAAAACTGTGGCATTGGAAATGAAGGAGCACTTTACAAAGTTTTGCCTGACATCCCAAATGGAAGCTTTTTAACTTGAGACATCATGTTTAATTGTACCTACATTCACTCAAGCAAAAAAATGAATGCAACCTCCCAAAGGGCCAGGGTCACCTTGAATGATAGAACTTGAACAGCTCATTCATACAGAGGAAAGCATGGAGACACAGCATGCTGCTGTCTTCCCTGAGGCTGTTGGATGAGGAGCTGCTAGGACGAAAACCCACTTCCTATACTAATAGTTTAAAAGCTGCTCCACGAGGATTGGCTGGGTCAGGTATAGTTTTTTTAAACTGCTAGGCTATTTTTGGGGGGGGGGAAGGGGCAGGGTTGTACATGTTATTGTGTACATAGCCTGTGTGGTTTGGGGACATTACGCTTTCCAAATAGAAGAGATAAACATTTTCCATTCTACCCAAGCAACTAATTTATTAAACAGTCATTTGATCTAAGTCATGAGCACTTGGAAGAGAACCAGAGTGGAAACAGCATTTAGCACTGAGCACAAACCATCCCAGCAGCCCCTGGAAGCGTCCTGGAGCCCCTTATGTGCACAGGGCCCTGCAGAGAACACCAGACCCAGTGAGAGGAGGCTGTGGGTACAAGGATGACTCAGAGGCAGGAGAAAGGGGAGCCTGAGGAGGCGCTGGCCAGGCAGAGCCAGTAGCACCTTAAAAAACCTGACAGGTGTGCACACAGGCCCTGTGCTGAGCTGTGAGATTTCGCAGGAGTGAGGTTGGGCCCTGCCCTGGGGAGCTGGAGCCTCTTTTGGGAGTAGCGAGGACCAGAGCCCAGTCCAGGGACTTTCCACAGTCCATGAGGCCTGAAGGCAGCAGCAGAGCTACAGCTCTTGCCAGAGCAACTGACAGTTCCAGGAACAATGAGTACAGAACAGTCAGCTCAGGAGGGAGGAAAAGTGCAGGAAAGGATAGAGGGAATAGTGCACTTTCATGTATTTATTCAGCAAACACTGAGGACCTACGTGCCAGTGAGGATGTCTGGACCTGGTGGTGTGCTGGGGATATAGTGACAAGACATTGCCTTTTAGTTGAGGAGTAAAAGACAGGTTGTGGAGAATCTATGGGGTCTTTTGGACACAAACACCAGGGAAGGAAGGACAGGCTGCCTGGAAGGGGACAGGGCTGGGGTGGGGCAATAGCCGTGACGCAGGACGAGCTGTGGTCCTGACCAGTTCCCCCAGGAGGGCAAAGGACATTTTCAGGAACATCTTTAGGGCTCGCGGTGGCAACAACGATTGCCTGCATCCTATCTGTGCTGAGGCCTCCTCCTTCTGATCCCAGGGTGCTTGGGTTCTTGGGGGCAGGGGCAGCAGCGTCTCACTGGGGCCTTAGTCATGCAGCGCATGGAGTGGCGTCTGGCACGGTGGCAGCCCCTGGAGGCAGGTGCCTTCCCCAGCCTCCTGGCAGGCCTCCCTAGGGCCTTCCGAAGCCTGTGTTTACTCCTGTCACCTTTGCCCTCCGCTCCGTGGTTACGGTGACGCCCCACTGCATCTACCCTGTTCTCTAGCCCTCTATTTTGTTTCCCTGGGCTGGTGCTGTAACCCAGGTCCTCATTGCCTTTGTAGGTTCTTGCTGGGCTTTTTCACTCTTCCCCACTGGTCTTTCTTTACCATCATTTGTAAATCCTGCTTTGCTAGACACAGCAAAAGTCTCCTGGAGTCAAGGGCGTTAGCTCTGAACTGTGTTGGAGTTGCTGGGTGGCTTTGCAGACTGCTGCCTGACCTCAGGCTCTTTCTCTCCACCCAGGCAGGTTTGTTCAGTGTTCCCTGAACCCAGGCTGCTTTGCTCATGGATTTTCCTTCGCCACTATCAGCAGTGAGTTAGGGGATTGTCTCTTCATTGCACATTCGTTTAACAAATAACTCCGAGTAGCCTGAGCAGGAGGTGCTGCTTGCCACAGGAGCCCTCAGTGACTGCCTCTGTTAGGACTGGTGGCCAAGTGGTGCCCAGAGTGCAGACAGTTAGGTGCCCTGAGGTCTCCTCTTTCTGACATCTGCACCAGGTCTGTACTCAGCCAGGTCCATGACCTTGTGGGACTTTGCTTCTGTCTTTATCTCTGACGATGGTGCCTCAAAAAATTGCACCTACTTTTATTCCTTGTTTCTCATATGTAATTCTATTAATGGGCTCTTGTGGGGAGCCTAGCCCAGCTTCACTTTTAAATGTGTTGTGGGTAATGTTAAAATACAGCAGGGAACTTTGAGGGTGAAGTATGTTAAAAGATAAACTCAGGTGCATTAAAATTGTAGTTTTTTTAGGCTGGGCAGAGTGGCTCATGCCTGTAATCCCAGCACTTTGGGAGGCTGAGGCAGGTGGATCACACGAGGTCAGGAGTTTGAGACCAGCCTGACCAACATGCTGGAACCCTGTCTCTACTAAAAATACAAAATTTAGCTGGGTGTCATGGCACATACCTGTAATCCCAGCTACTTGGCAGGCTGAGGCAGGAGAATCACTTGAATCTGGAGGTGGAGGTGCAGTCCAGCCTGGGCAACAAGAGCGAAACTCATCTTAAAAAAAAAAAAAAAAAGTTGTAGCATTTTTTTGGAGCAGACCAATTCATGAATCAGCACCAAACCACAAGCAGTGTAAGCTCCACCTAGAAGGCATGTAGGAAAGCGATTTTGTAAGATGTGTTTGCACAGGCAAGACAAAGGAAGCATTTGATTGGTCAGAGTGGAAAGTCCCAGAGATTAGTGGGTGGTTTCTGATTGGCACAATCTCTCATTAGAAGTCACTTTGCAGTTTCTGATTGGTTTAAGTTTCCTTCCACTGTTAGGCTTCCATGTGCTTATGTAAGACACAAGACACCATCTCAGCCTAATGGCCTTCTAATTAATTTGTTTTAATAAGGGCATACTGAATCCTTCGCCCTTGTCTCATAGATTGGAATAATCTGAGAAAAGAAAAACTTCTATTCAAAAGTGTAGAATGATGAAAAGTGAAATAGTGATGGTCAAGTGCTTATTTTAAGCATGCTTTGTTGGCAGCTGTGCAATTTGGCCATCATTTCAAAAGTCTTTTACAGAAGGAAAGGCTAGGCGAAAGGAACAGACCCAAATCTAAGAAGTGCTATAGATTTCAATGGTCTCAAGTTTTTGAGGGAAAAAAGCAATAAAGTCAATTATTAAAATTAACCACTCTCAGTTTGAAACATTTAAAAATGATTAAGTCCACCATGGCCTAAATTACTCCCATATAGCCAAATTCTCTATTTCATTGTTACCAAACTTGGGGGTACAACATTATAGGTTGTCCTGAAAGATGACGTCCAGTTGCTCTGAAAGTCAAATCATTTGCTGAATAAATGCCTATTGGTTACCAGTCAACCAAGGGATTATTATTCCCAGTTTGTTGGGAAGATATTTCAAGACATACTTTTTTAGTTCACTGTGTGAATTAAATAGGCATAGAACTTGCTTCCAAGATGACAAAACCCAAGAATCTTACTTTAAACGTTTGAAAGAATAGTCATTCCAAGTTTGCATTTTCATCCCCGGAATGCATACTGTATTATATTTTGAGTCTTTCCCCTTTGGAGCAGATCACGTCGAGCAGATGAGTATGAACAGTTATT